ACAGTATAATGAGCCCCAAGACCCTGTTCTAATCATAAAGGCCCCTACATTATGCTCAAGGCGTTGGGGTTTCAGGAGTTTAGGGTTTGGGGTGCAGGGTTTGGGGTATGGGCTTGGGGGTATCGGGTTGGGGGTTTAGGGTGTAGGATTTGGAGCTTGCGGTGCTTTTGCACAGTGACCGGGAGGTATTCTGTTATTGTGTTGCCCGATTTAGGGCTCAGAAGACTTAGCCGGAACCAGTAGGATTTTGCTGTGACCCCTGTCCCTGAGGCTCATGTTGGAATTTTGCAATACATTGCATCCCAAGGCCAAACCATGACACAAAGCCCACAATGCCTGAATTCTGGATAATCTAGCGGCCTAATCTAGTACCAATACTATGTTTGCGGTATCGCCTTTATGACTACAGTATACAGACTACACCCCGAAACCCTATTCTTATGATTTATTTATCAAAGCCCCTGCAGTATATACCCTATAGGAGCCCTTACAGACCCCTTGTTGAAGTCAAATCCTAAACCCTCCTCAGACATGCGCTGCTCGCCTACTTCCTCTTCGAGCTTATCGTTCGGCTGTTGCGTCCCTTGGCCCTTGGATTTTTTTTGAGAAGGTTCAGGAATGGCAGGGTCCCATGTGTACCCTAGCCCAAACAAGGTTAACCTTTTCAATTATGGTAAGATTATATAAAAACCCCAACAGGTCAAAAGTTATCTACTCAGCTACTGATGAAATAGGGACTAGGACTAAGACTTTCGAGCTTTTCTTTGGGATGCTGGGGCTTCAGAGGTGCAGAGGTCCCACACCCAAAAACGGTAAACCAACAAACCAAAGCCCGTGAACCCCCAGTCAGCAATCAGAGGTTTAGGATTTAGCATTTGGGGGTTCAGGGGGTTCCCGGTTTAGAGTTCAGGGCTTTTGTAGTAGCAAATAGGGATTTCGACAGTAGGAGTTTCAAATATAAGTATGTTGTGGTCAAGTGTCAAATGTAGGCGCGTGCCTGGGGTTCTTTAGGAATCCATTCCGAGTTTAACTCGCGATTGCTTTGGTCTCATCGAGCTCTATTGAATTGAATTCGGATGCTTTTTATTGTCACGGTGATTGCTCAGGGTTCAGACAGCTCCTTTTTTCAGATGGTGGTGACATCTTGTTTCCCGCCACCCAGCAGCACAAACGGACTGCAGCTGCGCAAGGACATGGCTGCAATTTCTTCAAGCAGGAGGCACTGCAATGCACAGCTCAATCCAAGAATCGGGATTCACAACGTATGGCGTGAAATCATCTGTCCCAAACTTGGACGATGCACCCTGAGAGGAAGAACTCATCCAACCCTAAATGCTAGTGCCAACCCCACGAAAACTCAACAGTTTCAGCCCGAAAACCCCCAGCATGCCGGGTTTGCATAAAGTTGAAGGCTTATTGTGTATAGACTCAACCCTTGACTCATTGTACTTTTATTTTCATTGGGGGTCGTGGAAGTTGGGGGCATGCATGAACTCTTTCCGTGAGGGAGTAGCAGTTGCCACCTCAAAACCGAGGAGTAGTCCATAGAGTATGAGCATGAAAACCTAGTCAACATGTCAATGCCTTCATCGCCTGATTTCAGGACGAAACAGTAGAGCAACCGTGTAACAGCTTACGGACATCGGTCTTCAAGGCAGTCTTCGGAATTTTCAACTCTAAACCCTAAACCGAAGACTCATTGAACCTTGTGAGACCTACTGTTGAGGGACAAAATCCTGCATGACCCCAAGGACTCTAAGCTATGGGAACTATGGTATATTCCTTATTGTGGGTAATGCAGGATTTTGTCCATCAGCAGAATGATTAAGGCCCCTATATTGGATTCATTAGAAGTTTCCCCAAGGCCGGCCTTGCTGATGAGGGTGACGGAGGTAGTATACAAGTCTTGTGTAAACTATGGTCTCTTTAGGAATTATTGTTTTTTACACTCGTTGAACCTTGTGAGACCTATCTTGAGAACTTCGGCCTGCAGGTCGGACGATGCCCACTTAGTAGTATAGAAGCCTGAATACACGCATTATTTCTTCGGGATCCTCACTACAGCGAGACGATAATGTACCCCCAAACCGTAGTCAAACTAGTGGCGAATGCCAGTACTAAATAGGAACCCAGAGAGCCCAATACCCCTTAATAAAGGAATATATAGCTTAAATCATATTATGCGTCCCCTCATAATTTAAGGTATATTCCTTAATTAAGGGGTCTTGGGCTCTCTGGGAAGACCTCTATGCTACTTGGGTTTGGAGGGCAGGTCCGGTGTGTCCGACTCGACTTGTGCAGGAGGATTGAAAGGTTTGGTGGAATGGGGGTTTAGGGTTTAGGGGGCAGGGGTTCCATACTGACAGCTGTCGCCATCATTCAAGATGTTCTTGGCTTTTCTGTTTCAGGGCGCTGGAGGCCTGTAATCTACGGATTTATTTGGGTAGACAGTTTTATGGTTACGATAGCTAGTTACTATCCCCACGTGATGGTTTCGGCTATGTTGGGCCGAGCCTCAAACTCAAACTCACGAAAGAGCCGCGCCGCTTCAGGCAGCATCACATGCCCAAAGGGTCCTAGGTCGTGGGTAGTGTCATGGGGATACTTCCCCAAACCATACTGGTTATTCCTAGGATGGGAACTCTACATTTGTACTATATATATATATATATGTACATTGGTACGTCGGACCCTAAGCCCCTAAGCCCTTCTGGCACCCTTATAGAAACCCTTACCCTACGGTCTACTTTATAGGCACATAGGACCCTTTGGGTCTTTTTGCCATGAAGGTAAGTTGGCCAAGATAGTAGAGAGTAGTGCAGTGATCGCTGGTTCGCAACCACAGGGCATCCAACCGAGGGTTGTATCCAAAGTCTCACATCGGTGGAGTAATTTTTAGATCTGAAGCACACAAACAGACACAAACACACACACACACACACATTCTTCCGGAGGTGGTGCGAAACTGGTCTGATCACATACTCGTTTTCGGTCATATGGTGTGCAAATCAGATGTGAATTGGAGGACGAATGGGGTTGGAACGTCTTTGACCTTTCCATCGTCACCAGCGGCGTTGCCGACCAGCGCCTCGGTCGGCTTGCTCCGGGTGAGTTCAATTTTTTAAAGAGACACTCTAAGGGGACTTTAAGGGGGTCCCTTTAAGGCTAGGGTTTGGGGCTTAGCGTTAAGGGTTTAGGGTGTCGGGTTTAGGGTTTGTTTACTGTAGTTTAACTTAGTAGTAGAGTAGGTAACCTTCAACCTTCTTTACGTAGTATAGTCCCTATATAACCACCATACAACCAGAAAGGTTAACCTTTAGTTCCCCATGATAATTACCCGACAAGTAGGAAAGAGACACTGATCACCTAAAGTCTTCGCCCAAATCCCTAGACCCTAACTTCCTGACCTAAAGCTAGGTTCATGGTTGCCTAACATTGGCAGTCTGTCCGCCTTCCATAGGCTTTCGTTACGCATTCTGCAAACACGAAAAGCGGCCCTTAAAAATGAAAACTAAACTTAGCTAAACCCTTTAAACCCCCACATCCTAAACTCCAAAGCAACATACCTTACGAATCTCTGCAACCGCAGAGCTGCATCACCTAGGGCTCGGTCGTGGGGTCTTTGGGATGTTTGAGGCTGCCAGGACATCGATGCTCGTTTTCTGTTTGGTTAGCGCTTAGGGGTTAGTGTCATAGGGTCTAGGACATTGATGGGCCTTTTCTATTGGGTTAGGCCTAAGGCTTAGGGCTTGTTGTCATAGAGTCTAGTACTGGGGGTATTTAGGGTTTACGGTTTCGTATCAGGCTTAGGGTCTAGGCAACAGGCCTTTAACTAGGATATCGTCAGGGCTTTCAGGCTGGAGGAGCAGCGTCGGGGATCCTTTAACTTGTGTTTTGTATGTTTTGGCTTTGCTCCAAGTGACGAGCCCTTCTGGGGTTCCGGAGTTAGGCTTTCTGGGCTTGAGGGTTGAGGGGTCTTGTTTTGTTTGCTCCAACAGTCACTCCGACCCCCATGTGGGAGTTTCCGAAAATAGGGGACCCTAATACAGTGCCCCGAATAGTTGGATCCGAATTATAAGGACGCCATACCAAGGTACCCCAACATTTTCGGAAACCACCATCTTTTGCTTGAGGGGGCTTCGGGTTTTGGGTTTGCCGCTCTTGCGGGCTGAGGCTTTGGGGTCGTCAGGACCCATGTACAGTAGAAGCCCAAAAGTTGGAAACCCCAGAGCCTCCATCCTTAAGAGTAATGTATAGGGAATCCCCGCACTATTTGGCCTTAATGCAGTTTCCAACTTTATGGGGTTTACTGTAGGGTTGCTGCTGTAGCTTGTTAGTTGTAGTTTGATAGGGGCCTTAGGTCGTGGTTTAACTTTGGGATTGAGGGACGCTGCTCAAAAAACTGTCCCGGTGCATAAATTATTGGGCAGACTTTTCCCAAAGAAAACGAGAAATCAACTTTGGGAGCCAAAGTTTAGGTGTAGACATGAACAGGCCAACATCTTTTCGACCGATCGGTTCCGTCTGTGCTTGGTGCCTGACACGGCTCGGCTAGCAGGTTGCAACTACCAGTGCCCTTAATCGGGGTGGTCTGCTACCCTCAGGCCCAAGCCAAATCGAGAACCCAAACCCCAAACCCTCAACCCCACCGAATAGTAGGTTGTGACCCCTTAACTAGAGGGTAGAGCCCTCAGAACAGCATTTTGTTTTGATCTCCAAGGAGTTTTTTGTTTGCGAGGTTCCGGACAATCTTTAGGAGGTTTCTTCGTGCCTTAGGGAGCCCTAAGGCACGCTTGAAGATAGTAGAGTGGCCTAAATAATTACCAATACGGTGTTTGGTGGTTCCTTTGTATAACAAATGGTCTTGTACATATTATAGGGGCCTAATTTTAACCAATACTATTTTGGGGGGTTCCTTGCTATAACTTTCGACAACCCTGTTCTAAGTATTAATGCCTCTGTACTAGCTCAGGTGGATCATGCCAGTGCTTCATTGGATGATGCAGCATGATGCCAGCCAGCGCAAGCAAGGACATATTTCCGAAGCTGCAGCCAATAGTCATGGCCAATAGGGCTCAGGCCTAGACTTTGGGGTTTTACGATTGAAGGTTGCAGGGTTTTGCATTCTGGCCATTACAGTTGCCGAAAGTACCGACGTTCAAAATCGGGTCTGCAACTGTCTCGTGCCTGACTGGCCACCTGAAACCCCTCGAAACCTACTCCATCCCTTGAAACAGCCACAATAACAGCCATAATCATCATCACAACAAAAACAAAAACGATGTGGGTGTATACATATACATATATACAGAGTATATTGAATATGCATGCATGTTTGTAAAAGCCTACTCAGCCACCGCGTGCTTTCTCTCCCTAGACGCCCCAGCCGGACCAAAGATCGGGTTCCTCCGTAGTGGGGAGCGCTTGAAGAGACGTACACGGATGTGCCAAAGTTTGTTCATGGGATTCCGTAGAGTTTGCACTCGGCCTGAGATTCAACATTCAACGATGAGAAGGCTTGTAACGCCGTTCTGCTGGTGCCATTTTTGTAGGACAGTATAGGGCCATGAACCCCGCAACCCTCATCCGATTCGTGATCTTGATCGTGATAAGCGCAATGAGAACTGCTCGCGCAGGAATGGCATCCGTGTTCATGGTCTTTCGCCCCTTGGGGCCAACAAGGATTGCATACACGTGGAAGACCGAAAGAAATCTTATTCCTTGCAAAGACGCCCTCAACTCGTCAGCCGGCGGAGACCTAAGCACTTGTTCAATCTTATATCTTTTCGTAATGACCGCTAAAACATTAAAGCTTGTACTCTTACGGGAGTCCGATAAAGAGACCTGATAAAGTCTTATGTTCAGGACCTAGAAACCTGACCTTAGGTCTCACTATTCAATATAGTTTATGCTTTCGGTGTATAGGACCCGGGTTTCTCAATCACGTTCCTACATTGCTCTAGTTTGTGAAACGAGCTGTACGGGACCATAAACTGCTCTCATAGAATCCTGAAAAGGACGTTACAAAGCAGGATCCTTGATGTGATAAGGGCATCCCTAAACCGGGCCTGAACCCTAAACCGTCCTAAACCTTGTATACTGCCCCCACCCAGTACCAGCTCTGTCTCGCTCCTTCTCTCTCTCTCTCTCTCTCTCTCTCTCTCTCTCTCTCTCTCTCTCTCTCTCTCCTCTCTCTCCTCTCTCTCTCTCTCTCTCTCTCTCTCTCTCTCTCTCTCTCTCTCTCTCTCTCTCTCTCTCTCTCTCTCTCTCTCTCTCTCTCTCTCTCTCTCTCCATATATATATATATATATATATATGTTATATATAGACACACATATATATATATATGTATGAGATGTGGTATGTACGGCCCGTAAAAAAGTAGCCCTATCATAGACTGTTACTGTATGGGGTGCCAGTACCCCGAAGGGTCCTAGGTAGGATCATCACAAAGATTTCCGAAAATCATCATGGTAGTTCCTATAAAAGATACCCTACGTTCTACTGTATTGCTTAGGACCCTAAACCCCCAGACCCTTATAGTACCCCTTATAGAATTATAGAAACCCTTACAGGGACCCTTAAAGGACCCCTTTAAAGCCAACTTAGGAACCTTTCGTACCCCACCTGGTTCCTGAAAGAGGAAGCCTGGTATTCTGAAGCTCCGAGGTATGGCCAGGCTGCTGCGCATTGTCCGACTCTTCAGGCTAGTGAAGCAGCGTGGCCGCATGAGCTTAGATTGCTGTGTTCTGGCTCATGAATTGAAGTTTTAGGTTAAGTTGATTTGCAGAAAAAGCAAGAACCCAGCAGTAATGTACCTCCACTCGTTCAGACTTTCAAAAATTCGGTGTTGAGTTGAGTGTCTGTGGAAGCTGTCTGTGGCTGCCGCCACTTCAAGGGATCAGTTTCTAGCGGAGCTACAGAAGTTGGGATCAACCCTTACAAGACCTGGAAAACCAGTTTAGATCACTGATAAGCTAACTCTGGGCCCGGCGGCTACGCCCGAAAGCCCGAAAACGTAAACAAGAGACCATATCGTCAGGGTTCTTATGAATCATTTTGCCTGAACTCCTACTTAAACGAAAGGGATCTTTAAGGGTTTAGGTGATACCCGCAATTGCTCTCCATTGTATTTCCAGTTTTGGCTACCCTATAGGATCTTGAATATTATAAAGTTGGTTTTGTCCAAAAACAGGAGCTATCACAGAGACTATAGTTAAACCCGAAAGCCCCAAAATCCTAGACCTATCCCTAACCATGACCTCGCTGAACTGTTAAACCCGAGCTCCTACACCCTTAGTCCCGGCAAAAAGCAGCACCCAGAGAGCCCAATACCCCTTAAATAAGGAATATGGCTTAAATTATGTAGCGCTTCATATTAGGATTTAAGCTGTATTCCTTAATTAAGGGGTGTTGGGCTCTCTGGGCAAAGGATCGTGCGACCCCTCTATGAGCTGGCGCAATCCATCATGGAAGCGCTCCAAGGCTTCGGGCGTCTTAGGGCTTAGGGCTGCTTTAAGGGACTAGGGCTTCTGTTGATGATATAAATCCTGCATTACCTTAAGGACCTTAAACTATGGGAATTAGGGTATATTCCTTATTATGGGTCATGCAGGATTTATATCATCAACCGTTAGGGTTCATTTGATCTGCTTGTTGGGGTTGGGGTTCCTTCAGAGTTTCCTTTAAGAGGGTTGGTTTAGGGTTCCTTTAAGGGATTTGTCCAGGGTCTTTTGAAGGATTGGGGTTTGGGCTCTGAGTACATCTATCGGGTTCAGGGTTTGGATTTAAGCTGAAGTGGTTTTCATGGGTTCTTTGTTGACAGTGATCGGGTGGGAAGTACGTGTCTTGCATTTGCCCGATTTAGTACTATCATCAGTCGGTCATATAAGTCCAACGACGTACCACTACGACTGCAAATGCTACTGGGCAGTATGCGTTGCGAGCTTACTACTGCGACTACGACCACTGCTATGCATTACAATGATGGTGACCCCATTGCGGTTGCAGCAGTTGTGATTTGCCGCTAAAGTAATCATGCTTGCATTGGCATGACTCATCTGACAATGGCTATAGCTGTCGTGCGTGACGATGGTGATGCTAGTGACTGTGATCGCTCTACTGAGGATGAGCATGATGCTGTGGGTTTCTGGCAATGGTGATGTCGATGTTGCTGCCGATGGTGATGATATGTTTGACCATTCTGACGTTAATGGCGATAAAAGTGTCGATGACGACTTGGTTCACAGGGCTCGCAGTCTTGATTTTGATGGTGCTATTGTTTGCCCATGCTTTTGAACAATACGTCACATCAACTGCTTTACTCGGGACACTACAGCTTACAGCTGACTTAGCGCTACTTTGGGGTCATGTTCCCTTCAGGTACATTACCTCGACTGGCCTTGCCAAGATTTGGATGAAGTTCTAGACATGATACTAGACCTAGACTAGACTATACTATAATATTCTATGTTACTCTACGGTTATACTAGACACTTAACCCAGGGGCTTAGGCTTCAGGATGCTAGCTCTGTGGGCCGCTGCAAGCTTCAGACGCTTCGAGCTCTTGTAGACCTTCGAAGAGTAGCCTCTACTTAAAGGATCATGGGACATAGTAACTGGGGTCATAATTATAGGGCAACTATGCCTATAACTACTTATAACCCAATTAAGGTACTTATAACCTTACTTACTAAGTCCCATGATCCTCCAAGTACCGTCCCCCAAGCCACCCAACCCCCAAAACTCCCCGGCCCTCAACATGAAGAATCCACCCATCAGTCACGAAACACGATCATGGAGCCCCCTTAAAACCCAAAACCCTGAACCCGACAACCGACACCCTAAACCCTACACCCGAAACCCTAAACTGTAAGCCCGAAACCCGAAACCCTAAACCCCAAAACCCTAAACCCCCCAGAGACTCCAATACCCCTTAATTAAGGAATATACCTTAAATTATAGTAGGATCCTTAATATGATTTAAGGAATATTCCTTAATTACTAGGGGTATTGGAGTTTCTAAACCCGAAACCCTAAACCCGAGACCTAAACCTCCGGCTCTCGGCGAGGCATGTTCTGGGTCCTCGTCTTCATGATCCTCACGTTGCAGCCTGGCAGAAAATTCGAAAAATGCGGCTCCAGTCGGATTTAGGGTTTAGGGCTTGGGCCAAGATTTACTTGGAGGTCCAGGGGACTTGTAGTAAGTAGGGCCCCTTTACGCGTACTCTGGGGTTCTATCCACTGTCCCAGTGTACTTCTACTCGTGCCTTTTGCATTCTCACAAGTCTGTTGGGAGCCCTCCTGCGCTCGACAGAAAAATAGGGTTCTATCAAAGGGGCCCCGTTAAGGGTACTATACTTAGAGGCCTAGGGGAAGCTATAAGTACCCTAAACGGAGATACCCCCAAGTATACCAGTACTTTATAACCGACGTCGCTAAGTCCCCTGGGTCTCTATGTAGGGCTTCGGGTTCTGGGTTTGGGGTGCGTCTTTCCGCGGCTTCTAGTCTGAGGCTTGATTGCTGGTGGTTCTTGGTTGTTTCCTCTGCTTGGAGGGTCAGTGAAGTTCGTAAGTAAAGACGAACAAGAACAACATGTCTCCAAGCTTCCACAACCTTCATACAGCCACGCGATGCCCGAACTGCCAAGCTTCTGGACTAGAGGGTTTAGGGGTTCTATAGCGAGCGATTCTGTATGGTTCCGGGTGGTAGCACGAAAGTATCAGCGATCGTCTTTTGATCCTTGGATACCCATCCTGCTTGCAGAAGGTACTCAGTGGCGATTCTATGCACACGGCTCATTGGCCACGGAACGGTGATCGCTGACGATGACGATCCGGAGATGAAAGAGATCAAGGACCCCAAAAGGGTCCTGAGTACCTACATAGTAGAACAAGGGTTCCTTTAAGGGTGTAGGGTTTAGAGTCCCTTTGAGTGTTCCGCAGTGCCTATATAGTAGTTAGTAGAACGTAGGGTTTCTATATTGGGGATTTACTTGTTACTTGGGGAAGCACCTTGCAAATAAATGGGACCCTTAGGTATCGGTTTCTATCAGGGAGTGGCAAGCGGCTGTATGGAAAGTAGATCTTGGGCTATCTTTGGATGAGGGTTGTATATTGCTGGTGTAGGGTCGGTCGTGGGTAGTAAGCTTTTAAAACTTTAGGATCCAGAAGTATGGGAGTTATTGGGGCTTCGAGGTTGCTGAAGAGCTGAAGCATCACATGGTCCGTGCCAGACTTATACAGCGAAAGCATCAGGTGCGCACTCCGAACTGAAAACTGAAAACCTTAGGGTTTAGGGCCCAGGGTTTAGGGATTGCAGACAGCATCCGGGAGAGCGGCACCAACAAAGCACCACCCTAGGCCGTAAACCCTCCTACGCGAAAAAGCAGCCAAGTACACTGTTGGCTCTTACGAGCCATGCCCAAACCGTGCACAAATCCTTCCGGAGTCCTAGTAAGACCTAGGTGGCAATTTGGGAAACCTTTTAATTTCCCTATGGTTCCTATAGAGGTATCTATTCATAAATGCTTTCCAGTGCCCCAAAACTACAACCCAGAGACGAAGCCACAGATTCAGAACCCTACAGTAAAGCCCATAAAGCTGGAAACGGGATTAAGGCCAAATAGGGCTGGGATTTCCTATACATTAGTCTTAGGGATGGAGGCTATTGGGTTTCCAACTTTGGGGCTTCTACTGCAACCCTAACCCCTAATCCCTAAACCCTAAATCCTAAACCCTAATCTTTGTAAATTTTAGATCCCTTTAAAGGAACGCTTATAGACCTCGTCTAAAGGAACCACAGGACCCTAAACCCAAGCCGGTGGTTTCTGGCCTTCTCAGGAGATGTTCAGCTCCGTCAGCACTAGTATGTTCACTCTCTTCGGCACGGCCTCAAAGCAGCAGACAGCCAGAGATTCTGTGATGAAGAGCCTGTTGCAACTACTTCTGTTACGAGCGTGCATAAATACTATTTCTACGACGACTTAAAGGTTGATATTGGAGCCCCAAGAAGTAGCACGGTGTTGCGGTTAAGGGGGTTTAGGGGTCAGGCCTCGCCACTTGAACCAGTCCTTTTGGCAACCAACTGCTAGACCTTTGCACGGGTCGGTTAACTTCTCCGGTGCAGCAATGCGGCATGAATAAGCCAGAGGCTCTTGAACCCCTACACCCCCAAACCAAAGCAATCGCCCAAGCTCGCCCCTAAACCCTAAACCCTCAACCTAATCCCATTGAGTTCAAGAGGTGAGCAGTTGGAGCTTGATGAAGTTCGTGCCGCTCTTTGAGGAGCATCTTGGTGTCTACTTAGAGGTTTAGGGCTCTGGGTTTCAGTGAGTTTAAGGTTTAGGGCTTAGGGTTGAGGGTTAGGAGGCTGAATCACTACCAACATTATTCCAGGCGGATCCTCATTATGCACTTCTATTGTAATTTCCCCCTAAGCCCTGTTCTGATTGTCAAGGCCCCTTGTTGTTAGAGACTTATATAGGGGGCTCTTGGTAGGCAGGTCGCGAGCACAGCTTTGGAAATTTAGTCAGATGACCAAAAACGTGGATAGTACGCACCCCAGCTATTCGTATCTACTGCAAAGTTGTTGAAATTCGGTTCATTTGGATCACGACTTTGTCAAATTGGGGGGCACCGTATTTCTCACGTGTTTGCAGCTCTTTGCTTGTATGACCCGCAATGGGATACACCTCGTCGGGGGCGATTTAGACCAGGCTGACGCCGCCCGCTAAAGCCCTCAAGACCCCATGCAAATCCCAAAAAACGGGGGACCCTTAATGGGGACCCTACTACCCCATAATGGGCTTTATATAATGGGTCTATAATAGCTAGATCAAGGGTATATACCTAGGGGTCCTTGTTAAGGGTCCCTCCTTATTTACCCTTGGATAAACCCTAAACCCAAACCGTCAAAGCCCAGCTCGAAGCTGGGGACGTCCTCGTGAACTACTGAAGCGGAGGTTTATGGATATAGTTGAGCGCCGACTGCCGGCAGACGTAAAAGTCAACTCCACTTTAAAAAAAAGCCCAGCTCGAAGCTGAGGATGCCATTTCTTCAGCCCCTCTTTGTGGTCTTCTACATCTACTCAGCCTGGGCGCTCCTAGCCGTGATGACAGGCGGAGAGTTCAGAGTCTTTCGGCTTGGGGTCAAGGCTTTCCAGTTCGCAACCCTTAACCCAAAATCCCTGATTTCTGGAGTTCTGTAGGGGTTTGTGGCCGCGGGAGGGGTCGGGCGCATAGGGGTCTATGGGAAAAGCATAGGGGTCTGTTTAGGGGTCTATGGAAGCCTATGGTAGGGGGCTACTTTCCACACTCATCTTCGATTTCTGTCGATGTGGGATTTCCGGGTTCAGTTTATGGTACTTCAGATTTCGAGCCGCTGTTTGTTTCTTTCATCTTATCTTAGGGTGTAACGCGGGGTTTGTGGTAGCATAGAAGCCTGCCATGTTGGTTCGAGTAATGTCCGGTATTCCTAGTTTAAGGAAGTGATAAAACACCCCCAAACCCTATTCTAATCATCATGAGGGCACCGTTGGAATTCGACAAATTCAAACCTTGCCTGCCACTGGCCGTTTCTTGGTCTACAAGTTGAAGAGCAGGGTTCGCCGGTAACCGAAAAGACCTACGTTTTGGGGGTTCCTTATCTCGGCGTTCTTCTGGTTGGCTCTTAGGACTGTAACTTTTTGGGCTTCTATATGAACTATCTTACTTATATTAAGGAGGCTAAAAGTTTAACTTTTAGGAGGGGTTCAGAAGTCAGCCAAGTTATTATGGTTTATGTATATGGTTCGTGAAAAAGGTAGGTTGTTTCGGCTACTTGGAGGATCATGCGACTTAGTAAGTAAGGTTGTAAGTACCTTTATTGGGGTTATAAGTAGTTATAAGTATAGTTACCCTAATAATAACCCTAGTTACTAAGTCCCATGATCCAAGTACAGGCATGCCCAACAGCTCACGAGCTGTGGGTCGGGGATTGAACATACTTGGAGGGTCAAGGGACTTAGTAACTGGTTATTTTAGGGACTTATAAGTACCATAACCCCAATTGGGTCCTTTTTCGGGTACTTATAAGTCTACTTACTACCTACTTACTAAGTCCCCCGACGCTCCAAGTATCGGTTTAGGCAAGCATCCAGCTTTCGAGTGTACAGTACTTGACTGCTTGAGCTGTTTGGGGGTTCCTTTAAAAGGGGGTCTATAAGGCTATAAGGATTACTACAAGGGGTATTATACGGATTTAATGTAGGGGCCTTAATAATTACCCATACTATTTTGCTCCTACATGTAGAATGGAAGAGTATGCTCAGTCGGCTTCCACCTTAGCCTTGGCCGGGGAACGCTGAGAGAAAGCTGTCCTCAGTCCGTGCAGAAGAAGTGTGGCCAAAGAGAACTTAACCCTACCTTAAGCCGGAAGAACCTACCTTTTAAGGACATATATAAGGAAATCATAATAGGGAACCTAAAAAGGTAGGTTATTCCGGCTTAAGGTAGACTAGACCTCTAAACCCTAGAACCCAAAACCTCCAAGCTTAAACTCCTAAATCCCAGAACCCCAAACCTGTAAACCCCTAAACTCCCAAACCCTGAACCCTAAACCCGAAACCCCTGAGCCCGGGAGCAGGTGTGGTCAGTGAGAACATGATCGCTATCCGCGATCAGATGCAGAAGGAAGATGAGCAGAGAGAGGCGCCCCTTGAGTATCGCATGCCAGACATCTTAGGTTCAGGGTAAGCCCTCAACCCTCCAACCCTAAACCCCTAAATGTACTCAACCCCTAAACCCTTAACCCCAGTTTACGGTTTTGGGCCTTAGTGCATAGTGTTCAGGCAGACCTTATGAATCTTGCCTTTGCTCCAAGCTTCTTCGCCCATAACCTCTCTGAGCCCTTCGTCTGTCCGAGATTTTTCGAGTCCTGTGAAAAGTTCAAAAATTCGGTTTAGGGTGTAGGTTTAGGGTTTGGGGCTAAGCATGGGACATCAAACATAGTTTTCGAAAGCTGACATCCACAGTCTGCTGAAGTTTTGTTGCACGGGCTCCAGTGAGGATGCGGGTACTGGGATTGCCCACAATCACTCACTTGGTCAGAAGTCCTGACAATCCCAACCGGCCCATCTATTTCCTTCCAAATGTATATATATATATATATATATATATATGTATATACACACATACATAGATAATGTACATACATATACACATATAAAACAGCACTATCCTGGCATGTATCTTGATACCCTGAAGACAGAAGAAAGCGAAATCGCGCACTAGTCATTAGTCATTTCGAATCATCCTTGACCCATGTTTTAAGTTTACGGCCTCTTCTATGCGTCTACAATACGGTGAAGTTTGTTTAAATGAGTGGCTGGCGGCCAAGCTCCGGAGCCACGGAGGTAGTACAAAAGTGCTGTTTAACCAGTACATTTACGAACTAAACTCCACCCCCTACCCCAATATAGTACCCTAAACCTTAGTATAAGGACCCCCCAAATCAGGAACCCCTCAACTCCCAAGACCCTCCAGCCCTCCACCCTTGCAGGCCACCACCCCCTTCCCGCCCTTCCACTCCGCAATTTTCGTTCAAGCCTGCCCTCGGCTAACACTTCTGCCCTACGCCTCCAATCTGTCGGGTGGAGGGGTGGAGGAGTGCAGTGGAGCTGTGGCGGGGTGAGGGGCGGAAGGGTAGCGGGCTAGGTGGTGGTCGGGGTGGTGCAGCATACGTATGCATGCGTGCACATAGAAGTGGGATATGTGAATGTATGTTACGTTTGTATAAAAGTGTACATTGAGTTTCTGCAGTGTGGTTACATACAGGCAGTAACCTACCCCCACAGGGTCCTAGGTACTGTTATGGGGGATACTTCCCGAAATCATGATATTCATTCTTAATATAGAAACCCTGCATTCTACCATATAGGTACTAAGGACCCTTTGGATACTACGAAAAGGCCTTATGGGCTCATGAGGGCTTTAATGGGTTGGGGGCAGGGGCGGATCTTGGGCGTCAATCTTAGGGAACTGCTCTTTGTCTTGCTTAGGCTTTGGGGTTTAGGGGTTTGGGGGTTTAGCGTAAAGGGGTTTAGGGTTTAAGGGTTTAGGGTTTAGGGGTTTAGAGTCTAGGGGCTTAGGGTTTGGGGTTTGATAGCCCCGCTTTTTTGGGGATTGCCGCAGCCAATAGCACAAGCAACAAGAACTAAGCGATTGTCTTCTGTGGTCCGGTCAGACGCTTCTCTGCGATTTCTGTTTAACTGCCGGGTGAAGCTTCGGTGTCCCAGCTGCCAATGAAGTCGGTCATTAGGAGCACAAAGATGCGGCCCTAAACCCTAAACCCTAAACCCTAAACTACCATGAACCCTCAACCCCGGCAGCGCCCCCTAAACCCTAGCCTTCAACCTTTTCCTGTAAGGTAAAAGCCAGAAAGTTGGAATATCATTATCGTAACCCCTTTAAGGTAAATTATAGGGGATCCTACCATGAAACCATATTCCAACTTTCTGGAGTTCCCTGTAAAGGAGAAACGGAAATCGATGATCACGAAAGTCCTTATGGAGCTCTTTCGTGAGGCCCAGCTGGGGTGTGGGGTCGGCTTAGGGTTCAGAGTTTGGGTGTTGTGTGGCTTTGGGTTTAGGGTTTGAAGGTTTTAGGGTTTGGGGTCAGGATTTAGGTTTATTATGTATAGATGCTAGAGCCGGTGTTTAGGGTTCAGGTTTAAGTGCTTAGGATCAGGTTCAGAATGTCGGCCAGGGATGACTGGGGTCTTGGGATTAGAACTTAGTGCTGCGGTTTGCTTTGCCCAACTATACCCCAAACTTCTCATCAACAAACTCATGGACTTGGCGAAGACAAGCGATCCAGAATGCAGGTTTGCATGAACTGTGACGGCTGCACGAGAGACTGCGGAGCTAGATTCGGTTTATGGTAGAGGATTTAGGGTTTGTAGGGGCTAGTGATTATTTCTTCCCGGAGCGCGTGCCTCCGAATCACTGCGTTTTCCGGTCCACACTGTGCCCGAAGTACGTGCTCTCTTCGACGGTGCTGCAGTATCTGGAACTGTAATTAACTAGCTTTTTGGGCTTGATTCAAAATACGACTCTGGGTCATCATTCTGAGTTAGATGTTTGCGTGGGGCTCGAGTTTGCAGGATTTGCATTGCGCGGTCGGTATTCACAGCTTGAGTCGGGCTGCAGGAGCCTGAATCCTACAACTCAGAACCGAACCTTGCCTAGTCCCCCAAGTACCCTCTGACATACCCCAAATACCCACGATTAAGGACCATAAGGGCTCTATTAAAGGAGCCCTGGGGAGGGCCATAAGGACTCTATTGAAGAGCTATTCGGGGGCGTCATTCGTAATGTGCGGTCCTGGGAAGTTGAGCCACTATCTGCGGACAACGCAATTGCGACATAAGTATTGTTGTGCTAAAGTACCCTAAGGGTCCATGTGCCCAAATAGTGTATATACTTAGGGCCCAATGTACCTACAAAGGCCAAAGTATATAATTAAGCCGAAACCGAGCACTGAAAAGTGTTCGCCTGGCCAGCATGGTTGTCCTAGTTGTAACAACGGATGCTTCTCATTTTGCTTTCGGTGTTAGGCTTCAGGGCTCAGGGTTTACGTACTTCAGGAGAGCCGGTGCTTGTACGCCGTTGCTCCCGGATTCAAGGTTCGGTCGTTTGAAGCACCACCGTTTAGAGTTTGTCAAAGGCGTCTGGTTGAGTTAGGGTTCAGGGCCCACAGGATACAGGAAGAGCACGGCTGTTAGTCTAAGCCAGCCCCGACCCAAATCAGACTGCAATCCTCAAGCGGTCTGCGTCTGCAGGCAGATGTCGACAACAACGGCATCGTCTCACGACAGGAGTTCGAAGGCAGACGGGGATTTGGTCTTCGTGTTGCTTGTGTGCTCCAAAGTACGAAAACAAGTGACAGCAGACGTTATACTGTAATCCCTACAATAGTAGGGATCCCTAAAATACTACCGCAATTATGGAGGCCCCTACGTTAGGTTTCTGAGCAAGCTGAACGTGAAGCCTCTTGCGCACTGGATAGGAGCTGCTGTTTTCACATAAGAAATTGCTGTATGCTAATATACCCCAAGACCCGAAACTCTAAACCCTATTCCAACTTTTGTAGCTATTGAGGCCCCTATGCTAACTTGCAAGGCCACATCGGAGCTCTTCTTTCAGTGTCAGGGCCTGTAGACGTAGAACTGCAGGCTTCGAGAAGGCAAACATTCTTTCCCGGAGATGTATTAGAGTTTAGGGATGAGAGTTTAGGGTTTATAGGGTTTAGGGCGCTTCGGGTTTAGGCTGTTGGGTTCATCTTCCCACGAGGCTCGAAGACTTCGGCATACAGTACTGGCGTCTAAGAGCGCACAAAGAGACCGATTCAACCTAGCCTCGTTGTTCGGCTATTCCCGGATCCCTAAGCGGCCGTAACCCCCAAGCCATAATGCTACCCTGAACCCCCAACCACAAACCCTACACGCCATACCCTTAGCTCACACCCTACCCAAACCTTACCTCCCAGACCCTGACCCTAAGGGTCCAAGTACCTAATGATCATATACTCTCCAAAAACTGTAACCTACATAACTAATTAGTATCCGAAGCCTAAGTTTCTGATTATTGGGCCCTTTGGACCCTTAGGGTGAGCTCAAAACCTAAGCCTGGAACCACCAAAATCCTGCTGCGTGAGGCATGCTCAAGTCTCCCGAGTTGGTCAAGAAGATCACCAAGAACACGCGCATGAAGGCCGTGGCGCCTATCGACCCGAAACCTTGAAACCTTAAAGCCCCAAACCCACCCTAAAACCCTAAGACCCTGAAACCCTGAAGCCCCAAACCCTGAAACCCTAAAGCCCCAAACCCTGAAACCCTAAAGCCCCAAAACCCTAAGACCCTAAACCCTAAGCAAGACTCTAAAACCGAATTGAGCCAGAAAAGGGGGGGCCATAGTGCTCGTAAAGGGCGGCCCACAGGAGCCTGAGTAGTTAGATCGGGTTTCCTTAGGGGTACTTAGAAATCATTTTTGTTTTTTCATTATTATAATCCCTAAGAAACCGCTAAAATTATAATTGTTGCCGGGGTTCTAAGTTCAGTATAGTATTTCTGGTGTAGCTTACAGCATGTATGTGAGCATACACACACATATACGCATTTGTTAGACAATAGACATACTACCTATATACATATATATATACACAAACAGGACATAATATACAGGGAGAGAGAGAGAGAGAGAGAGAGAGAGAGAGAGAGAGAGAGAGTGAGTGCAGGGTGATGGTGTTACAGAGCTTCTGACGGTTCATAGAATCCAACGGTAAAAGGAGGGACCCTTAATAAGGACCACTAGGTATATACCCTTAATATAGCTATTATATACCCATTATGTAGCCCATTTTAGGGTAGGGGGGTCCCCATGAAGGGTCCCTCCTTTGCCCCTAAACCCTAAACCCTAAGTAGAATCCTTATAGATCCCTTTAAGGAACCCTATATAAGGGTCCTCATTAAGGGTCCCTCCTTTTCCCCTTTGATAGAAGCTCCTCATCCCACCAGGCCTTGAGTTGGCAGTCCGGTTTTAGGGTTTAGGGCTCGGGGTTCGGTTTAGGGTTTAGGGTTTAGGGTTTTACCAGGACCCCTCCCCCGCCCAAGTACCCTTTAATAGAGCCCGCATGGTCCTGGGTATTTAGTGTATAATAGAGGGTAGCTGAGGGGTGCTAGGGCTCGGGGCTGAGGGTTTAGGGCGGGGCTTTTGACAATTCGGGGTGCCTTGACAGACTCTGTTCATTTAGCACCCTTTTGAATTCGAAGGATCATGCAATTTAGTTATAGGGTTCTTCGTTAGGATTCCCGGCTTTTTCTGAAACAGGTCCACATCAGGGTGTCGCATTCTGCACATTCAGTCTGAGGTATCCTCCCATGGGTAGCAATAAGAAGCGAGCACTCACGGAAGTAAGTCAGGATCAGTTGGTTCAAGCGTGAGGTAAGAAACCTGTTCATGATTCCTTCATGATTTCGAGGCGTGAGAGATCAGGGGGTTATCCATACCCCTGCCTGTGGATCCATAAACCTACCGGTTTAAGGGTTAGTCCCTCTAACTGAGCTGTCATAGCCTACTATTTTGTAGGGTCTGTGAACCCTAAACCCTGAACCTCGCATAACGTCACCTTCCGGGTCCCAGAACAGGAGGCACCCTGCATCTGCATAGAGCCCGCGTCGCCTAAAACCCTGAACCCTAAGCCCTGAAATAATGCAGGTACAAGACCTCATCGACCTGTTTGATTGGATTGATCACGACAAAGGCTTGGCAGCTTGTGTGTGCATGTGAGCATACCCTAAGGGTTCCTTGAAGGGTTTCTATAAGTTAAGGGGACTGCAGGGCACGCGCTTTAATGGTCCATGTACCCAAACAGCATATACTTTGGTCTTCAAGTAGCCCACACATAGAGGTACTGTCGGGCCAATATGTGGACGATTTGTATACTATTTAATTTGACTGCGTGGACCCTCAACGCGCCCTGCACCCTAAGTGGCTCATCATGAGTCGTAAACTTGCCCTTGAGGCATAATTACCCATACGTGGATTGTCCTACCCGGGCCTTCCGAAATGCCTTCTTTAAGGAATATACCTTACATCATTATCAGGATCTTATTATGAAACATATTCCTTACTCAGGGGATTTTGGAAGACCTGGGTAAAGGTCCTCGAAAAGGAAGGACGAGTGGGCACGCACTGAGTTCATAAGGACTTCTTACCGAGAAAAAGAATTTTGAACCTTTTGGCGGCTTTTCGAACAAGTAATTTAGGAACCTGATTCAGAAATTTGGGGCCTTTATAAGGCTTCCTTATATGAATCCTGCTCTTTTTGGAGTATCGGCCCAGGGTTTCTTAATCAGTTTCCGACATTATCACACTGCGCATGCAGGGGGGCCGTCTGTCACAGTTGAATAATGTTTATAACATAGATATAGTAGCCCTTGATACTAGCCCCATTACAAACTGTCAGTGTATGGGGGCAGTACCCAACCTACAAAACTTAAACTTTAAACCCCTGAAGCCTCAGCAGGTGGCACCATCACCATCGACGAGTTCATGAACGGTTTCAGGCACCTGGCTTTTCATGATAACATTAGTTCTGGTCCGTAGCAGCGTTAGTTCGAGTTGAGAGCGACACGCTTGGAGTTTATAGGGAAAGCTTGGGGTTTAGGATCAGAGTGTGAATCTTCAAGGTTACCCTAAGGGTCCAAAGGACCCAGTATTTAGGTACTCGGTTTGAGGATAGTAGTTATGTATGTTACTATATTGGAGTGTATATGCTAATTAGGTACTTGGTCCCTTGAGGTTAGGCTTTGGCAGCTGAAGCCGCAGGTTGAGGAGTTTAAGGCGGAGGGACGCGTAAGCTGAAATTCGCTGGGACTGATGCACATAGTTCGCCACAGCTCGGAATCCAGAACCCTGCGACCCTGTCGGATGGTTCAGGGTCCCGAAGGGTCCTATGTACCGATATAGTAGAATGTAGGGTTTCCATATTAGGAATTACTATTATGACTTAGGGAAGTATCCCCCATAACAGTGTACATAGGACCCTTTGGGGGTAGAATAAACCCAAGCCCCAAATCCTGAACGCCTCGACCCGAGGTGGATCAATGAGCCCCTCCGGGCAAAGAGCCTTGTGAAGCTGCAGGCAAATTGCGGAGGGTATATGACTACCCAGACTACCCAGACCCCTCCTGGGAGGATCCAATAAGTAGATCCCTTAATGGGGGTTCCTATAAAGTACCCTTAGTAGCATATGGCCCCAAATTTTGGGATCTACTTTCTAGATCCTCCCGGGGGTCGGGTATAGGGTCGTGTAGGATCTCAGTGTGCGGTGCCTTGTGCCTAAGCGAATGTACGAAACATGCATCGTGACACACTTGTGTGGCGCACGAGTATCAGAGCCACATACACCCTATCCTGAACCGTTAATCTCGAGTGGTTGCCCGATCTCGCTCTATTCGGTGCGTATGCATGCGAGTCAAGACAAGACTAGAACGGTTGAAAGCACCCCTAAAGCTTTTATGTTCGGACTAAGCCACTAAGCTTTCGGGGAGTGCGGTATGGGCGTTTAGGATTTGCAGCGAAGGAACACAAGGACTTCCCCTGAAGAAACGAGTGTCCTCAGCATTGAGCCTCATGAGCCCAGCCAGACATCCCAAGCCCCAAACTTCACTCCCAAACCTTGAACCTGCCGATTCACCCGACACGCTTTCAGCTCAACAAGAAGACTGCAAAGCAGTTCGACACCGAAGCATAATCACGGTCGATATATACTGATAGAACATATTTGCAGCTCAGCACAGTATACGGCAAAACCTTGACCCAATTACGAAGGCCCTTTAGCCACATTTATAAACAGCCCTATATATGAAGCACTGTTTCAACACGTATGACACCCTTCTAAAACCCGCATGGAACACCTTACGTAGCATACGAAAAGTCCCTATCGTATCGACTTAGCAGGCTTCTTATAAGAACCCGGCTCAAACACGAATAGTAACATGTTAATGGACCCTTCAAAGGAGATCTTTAAAGGACTCCTATTCCTTAAGTCCTGGACCCTAGGAGGGTTCTTCTCCAAGCCCTAAAGCCGAAACCCCATAACAGCACCATTTCAATCAAGGAACCCCCTACAAGAAAAAATTAAAGGGACCGTTTAAAGGAGCTCATCAACCCTAAACCCAAGGCCTAAACCCTAAACAGAACCGGTTCTAGTCTTCAAAGCTTCAGTATGGAAGCAAGCCCCTTAAAGGAGCCCGTTAAAGGAATCCCGAACCCCTTTAACGGAACCCCTTTAAGGGATCCCTTGAACGGAACTCTTGAAAGGAGCGCTTATAGATCCTTTAAAGGTTCCTTTACGGGACCCTTTAAGGGATCCCTTAAGGGATCCCTTAAAAGATACTTTAAGGGACCCTTGAAGGGACCCTTCAAGGGATCCTTTAAGGGATCCCTTAAGGGATCCCTTAAGGGATCCTTTAAGGGAACCCTTTAAAGGAACCTTTAAGGGAACCCTTTAAGGGAGCCCTTAAGGGTCACCCGTTAAGGGATCCTTTAAGGGAACCTTTTAAAGGAACCCTTTAAGGGAGCCCCTTAAAGTACCGAAGCCAGGAGCGACTTGCGGGAGATCTGAAGGTTCTGGAAAGCACCGTGCACTTTGGCTTGCGGAGGGCTCTAAGGGGACTTTTGAGGGTTCCTTTCAGGTAAGGGTTTGGGGGGGTTTAGGGTTTATAGGGTTTAGGGTTTAGGGGTTAGGGTTAAGGGTTAAGGGTTTAGGGGTTAAGGTTAAGGGTTAAGGGTTTAGGGTTAAGGGTTTATGGGTTAGGCTTAAGGGTTTAAGGTTTAGGGGTTTAGGGTTTAGGGTTTATGGCTCTAAAGGGACTTTAAGGGTTCCTCTAATGGGGTTGCTGCAAAGGGTCCTTTTAAGGGACTCATAGGGCTTCCCTTCCCGGAGCTCCTTTAAGGGACTTTCAGGGTTCATTTGAGGGTTCTTTGATGGGGTTCCTGTAATCCTTCAAGGGGTTCCTTTTAGGGCCTATTCAAGGGTGACTTCATGGGGCCCCTAAAGGGGCTTCAGAGGAGTTAAGTATTTGGAGTTTGAGGGAATCATGCGAGCTCTAAGTAGCAAATGATTCTACGCCCTTGGCTCAAGAGTCTGGAGTTTTGAGGGAAGATATAGAGCTCTAGGGCAGTTCGGAGATTTCAGGTGTTGCATGATTTTCGGCTTCCTGTGGGGTTGGCGGGGACTTGGATTGTATGTGAGTGGTTGTCAAAATTACGGTCCCTTATTGGGTCCTTAATATAATACGGCTATAATATTTAGGGTACCCAAAAAGGGACCATAATTTTGACAACCACCCATGTGTGTTTTACATGGCCATCTTTGTCTCGCGAACCCGGGTTGGGCTCTTTTTCGGAGAGCTTGGCTTAGCCTAGCAAATCTTATGACCTGCGGGGAGGTTGTAGGCGAACTGGGATACTACCTAGACTGTCATATGCTACCCCTGTTTAAGGGGTACCTTTTTTTGTGGTTAGGATCTGTCACATATACTCATTAATATACAAGCAGGGCGTGACCCTAGACCCTGCATTTTGATTCATTTTCTGGTGACGTCATTTCCTCAATGAAAGTCCCTAACCATGAAATCCGATATCGGATTCGTGATATAGATATTGCAATTCAGGGTCTAGGGTTTAGGCTGGGATTCGGGAAGCTGATCTACGAGGTCTGCGGTTGCTCTACGCCTGAACCGGAAAGCCACGTAAAGCGCTGAAGCAACGCCGTGAAGCCTAGACAAAGCACTCGCCCTCAATAGACCGTAGTTCCGTGAAATTTGTTAAAATATCACATGTAGACTACAGGCTGCCAATCCTGTGCTGCGACCACGGCCATTCGCCGTTGTTGAAGTGTCGTGCTTGGGAAAACCTAGTGGTACCTTTTTTTGTTGGATAACCTGTGTTATGGTCAGGATGCCCTCTTGTCAGAAGCTGTGATGACAATAACAAAGTGTACTACATACCGTAAGGCTCCATAGTAGTTCCTTTTTGGGATTACTCTATAGTATTATAGGATTCTAAACATGAACCCGCAAAAGGAACTACTGTGGAGCCCTACGGTAGTAAGGTCTAGGTATGCTGTCGGCTTCGGCCTCCTGAACCTGGCAGATTCCAGAACCCACCAAGCTGGGAAAGCTTGCCCTCGACGTGGCTGCCTGCTTTGCGCAGCGCAAGCCTCCGAGCGCTCGGTGGGAAACGTTTTGTTCCCAACACTTGGGCCGTGAAATGGCATGGGCAGTCTGCAAAAAGCGTGATAAAGATGGCAAGTCTGCACGTTCAGGACATACCACCCAAAAACACAGGGTGAAGGAAACGATCTGGCGAGAACGCGGCATACGGGACACCATGTGCTCCAGAGGACACGCGGGATGAGAGTTCCGAAGCATTCCAGAGTGTCGGAGTTCGAAGTCCAGGACTCGACGAGCCTTTGTGTCGGTTGGGTCTTCCGAAGGATCACTTCCGACACCATGCCGATGCAGAACTAACTATTGATATCGGGGGAGCTAAGGAGCCAGGGATCATGATAACTCCTATTAAATAAGGAGCTAAACAGCCAAGGGAACCCCCAAAACCACTAGTTAGAGAATGCTCAAGACGCAGCGTTTGGAAGCCGGCTGAGTCCGGATCGGGCCTCGGACTTGTGGCCAAGCACAGAAGAAGACTTAGTCTAGGTGGCAACTTGGGAAACTCTTTAATTTCCCTTACGGCTCTATAGAGGTACCTATTCATAAACTTTTCAGAGCCACAAAACTACAACCCACTAGTCTGAAGAGCTTCCAGGTGGGGCAAGTTTTCATGCCCAAGCCCATGAAGCCCCAAGGGTCCAAGTACCCAATAATCATATACTCTCCAAAATCCTAACCTACATAACTACTAGCCTAAAACCGAGGACCTAACTATTGGGTCCTTTAAAGGACCCGTGGATAAAGACAAGGTCCAGCATCATCCAGAAGCGTGTCGACGAGGTCCAGCGCACCGTCGCCGTCCCACTGCGGAAGGACCGGTGGGATTCTGGCAAGTGCGAACCCAAGGACCTCATAGTTAGGGCCCTAGACCTCTTAAGGACCCCATAATAAGGTCCCTGGAGGCAAGTGCGAAGGGTTGGTGTTCAATTTCGGAGGGGCCTGAAGAATTAGCCTAGGCCGGACCATACGCGAATTCTCGAATTAGTAGTTGCTTTATATGTTCAGACCCCTAAATCAGAGCTCAGGGTTTTGCTAAGGGTCCAAAGCACCCAATAATGAGGTACCTAGGTTTCGGATAGTAGTTATGTAGCTTACTATTTAGGTACTTAGACCCTTGGGGTTTGGGTCATTGGCAGTACTTCAAGGATCATGGGACTTAGTAACTAGGGTTTTGATTAGGGTAACTATACTTATAACCCCAATTAAGGTACTTATGACCTTACTTACTAAGTCCCATGATCCTCCAAGTAACGTATGGGGACCATTGCTCACAGTTTAGGGTTGAAGTCTTAGCGTTTACGGGTGGTTGCGCTCTACGCAGTTGCCGGCATTTTCCGTTCCGAGCTTGAGTGTTGCAACAACCCACCCACGAAGCCAAATTTCCAGATTCGTACAGTCCAATCTAAACCTTAGACTTTAAACGGAGCCATCCTAACAAAGAAAAAACTTAGCAACTCTCTTTGGATGCCACTCTGGGTTGATGGGTTTATTATTCGCACCTCTGTACTTGCGTAGCAATCACTGAGGTTTTGTCTAAGGAGCCGAGTAAGCGTTGCTGGTTGAGTCTGGCGGCCGGTTCATCAGCTTGAAAAATCCCACCCAAAAAAAGACAGCTTGCAGGAATATTGAATTATGTTCTAGAAAACAAAGAACCGTACAAACCCTTATAAGCTCCCTTGTCAAGCGCAGGTTCATGCGATTGCGGAACAGATGCAGAGAAGCTCGCCTGCTGTGGGGTTTAATGGCTAAAGGGTTCTCGGTTTACAGGCTCCCTAAACCCTAAACCCTGAACCCTAAACCCTAAGGGTCCTAAACCGAGGTTTCGGGCTGGGGGGTTTGGGACTTCGGAAGCATGTAGCTCTAGGACCTAGGATCGCGATTACGTGGTCAGGATGTACCAGATCTTATTGGTGGCTGACTACAGCGTTCGAGGTATCCATAGGGGTCCTTCGTAATTAAGGATATCCCCCTATGGACCCTCTAGAAGGTTTGGTACCAACTGCACAGGGCCCTTTTGAGTCCTAGAGCAAGCCTATAGAATCCTCAAGAATCCCTGTTCTAGTTGAGCCCTAAACCCCGAGTTTACTGCAGATTGGCCTTAAACCCTAAACAAAAAACTAGACGACGCTGATACAAACCCTGCAGCGGCCCCGTGACAGAGCCGGCCTTGAAAGCCGACGTAGAAGAATTCTGTAGGAGACGCTTGAAAAGGAACCCTTTGAATAAAGAAACCCTGTAAAGGAAGCCTCTGCCACAACTATCCAGATAGTAAGCCTTAAACCCTCAACCCTAAATCCTAAAGCCCCTAAAGCCTTAGATATACTTATAGTACAACGGGCCCCCAAACCCTATTTTAAATATAAAGGCCACTATATTAAACCCCCCCATAATGCCTCTTATAGTAATTCTTAAAGACCCCTTTCATAGGAACCCTCAAAGGAACCCTATTCCACTTACAGTAAGCCCCATAAAGTTGCAAAACCGGATAAAGGCCAAATAGAGCTGGGATTCCCTCTACGCTACTCTTAAGGATTGAGGCTATTGGCTTTCCAATTTTTAGGCTTCTGCTGTATTAAGGCCCCTATATTAACCCCCCCTGATACCCCTTATCGTCACCCTTAAAGGCCCCTTTCATAGGAACCCTTAAAGGAACCCTGTTCTAATTATTAAGGCCCCTATACTAAGAAACCCTTATAGTAGCTCTTATAGTAGCCCTTGTAGACCCCTCTAAAGGAACCCTGTTTATTCTAATTATTAAGGCCCCTAACCCTAAACCCTAAACCCTTAAAGGAACCCTATTCCACTTATTAAGGCCCCTGCTTTACATGCGAAGACGCTGCCGAGGCCTAGATGTCCAGCTCGGCAAGATTCGACCGGCTTCTTGGCTGGGAGTTTCGAGGGTTTAGAGTCTAGGTGTGGATTTTTAGGGTCTAGGGCGTCTAGGAGTTTCGAGGGTTTAGAGTTTAGGTTTACACTTTAGGGTTTAGGGTCTAGGGGTCTAGGAGTTTGGGGTTAAGACTTTAGGTTTGCAGTCTAGGGTGTAGGGTCTAGGATGTAGGGATTTAGGGTTTGGCTTTTCGGGTTCAATGCTGGCTGCAAGTTTGTTGGGATTAGGGCTTATAGGTTTTAGAGCTTACAGAGTTTAGGGTCTTAGGGTTATGTTGGCCATTCATTCGTTTATAGGGCATACCGGACCCTAAACAACCATCCATTTTAAGGAGTTTTCATAACAAAGAACCCCACGAGGCAGGTTATTCGGTTATTGCCTTTTGGATGAGGGTTAGGGTTTTAGGATGTTTACGGCTTCGAAGGTGTGGCTATACGGTATACGGCTTAAGCGTTTTTTGTGTCTCCATCTATCTCGGGATTGATGTCCCTCGGTAGAAGGTTTAGGTTTCAGGGTTGACCGCAGATTGAGCAATGCAGTGAGGCTCAAGATGCAACTGACATGCTACATGTCAGAGGCAGTTTGTACGGTATTCACCTTGGAAATAATGGGTGTCCTATGTAGCAACTCGGACTCTCACATTAAGGGTCCCTTGTTATGACTGCCTTGTATAAGTCCCTGAAAGCGTACGCTCTTCAGGGTCCAAGAAGGGCAAGAAGAAAATTTGGACATGTGCAACTTCTCCACCCGTTGCTGCGCAACCCGGTAAACCCATCTAAACGTCCTGGACCCTACACCCCCCAAAGCCCAAAAAAGTAAACCCTAAATTCCCAACCCCAACTTCCGGTCATTCAAGATCCCTTAATTAAGGAATATACCAAAATGTTGTGTATCCTCTCTTACTTTCGTGTACATAACCCTTAATTCCCTTATAGAACCCTTATAGATCCCTTAACTTTAAGGAACCCCAATGTATATTCCTTAAGGTTTTTCTTTATTTAAGGGAGTTTGGAATGTCCGGCTTCCCAGGTCATCCACGAGCGCCTGTCCGCTCTGCCGCATCTTGGCGGGAGTTGCTGCGACAGAAACGCGAATGTAGGGGCTTAAGGGTCATGCAGGATTTATATCATCAACCATAAGGGTTTCTATAAGGGATCTATAGGGGATTGTAGGGCTTAAAAGGGGGTTTAGGGGTTTAGGGTAAGGGTCCAAAGGACCCAATAATTAGGTACTTAGGTTTCGGATATATAGTAGTTATGTAGGTTACTATTTTGGGGAGTATATGATAATTAGGCACTTGGACCCTTAGGGTAGGGGCTTAAGTTAGGACAGAGGGTTGAGGGTATAATATAGGGTTTAGGGTTGAGGGTTAGTCCCAAAAGGTACTATGGGGGATACTTCCCCAAACCCTAGTTTAACAGTAATTCCGAGTATAGAAAGATTCTACTTCATAGGTACTTAGAGCCCTTCGGGAGTACGCTCAAGCAGTGCACACGTTTCCTTGTACAGCACTCCTGAAAACACGTCGAAAATGAGCTGCTAAATGTACTAATACGCAAAAACGGCCATACAATGCCTCCTTAACCGGCACATCCCTAATCCCTCAAACCCCAATGCCCCAAAACCCCAATACCCTGAACCCCAGACCGCGCAGGGTGCAGGTTCAAGGAATTTTCCCTTTCAGCCGTCATGCGGCCTCACTTGGAGGTCATACATCCGAAAAAGCCTCAGCTAAGTTCCTTTTACCAGCATCTTATAACTCCTCATAAAGTTAGTAAGATTTCAGAAGATCCTCGACTACATTTCTTGGAGTCTCTGGGCTCAGGTCTGAGGTGGAGCTGAAGGAGATGGAAGAACGGCTGAGCAAGAGGCGCCTTTGGCTTGTCTCTGACGGGTTTGCTCAAGTAACTTAGATTAGGGTTTGGGGTTTAGGGGTTTAGGGTGTAGGGCCTTCCAGGACAAGTACCCTTTAGAGGGCTCGAATATTTTTCAGTAGGAGGTAATTAGGGGCTACAATAAAGGGTAGTTGGGGGGTCTAGGTAAGGTTCAAAGTTTAGGGTTTAGGCAGTTACTTTAATGCTTCCGTCCGGGCTTCCGGTTGTTGGTGCAGTTGTTTTCTCTTTTTAAAGTAAGGCCTCAATTATATAAGAGAACCTTAGCCATAGAAATTGATAACCAAATAAGCGGCCTTACAATGCAGACTGGGTAACCCCTGAGCCAACCCAACTTCATAGGCTCCGATGCTGTACCAGTATCTCTCTACTCTAGGAGCATCGTTCTGCCTCACCATGGAATGCTTGCCCCAACCCTGGTTGTACTTCCTACTGCAGGAATCCTACTTTCTACTATGTGGGTACTTAGGGCCTTTTTGGGTGCCTTGTAAACCACTGAACCCTTAGCTGAAACGCTGCCCTGCACCCGAAACCCTGCAAGCCCAACCTACTAGTTACAACTCGTTATGTAGAACCCTACAACTTTAACTTTGCTTCACCGTCCTAACCGAACCAGCCCCTCAGTCGTAACAGGCATTTCGGACGTCCCTTGGGCAGACGGAAAAGAGGGTTCAAAAAAAACAATAATAACTTTGCTTCACTCACTCCACTCAGGCAAGTCCTGCAGCCATAAAGTGAGGGAGGTTAAATCTGAGATGATGTCGCGCTCAGCCTCATGGTCCTGCGTCGCCGCCATCAAGGCCGCGATTCAGTCCAGGGCGAACATCGCACGAGGGGGACAAGATTCAAGGCTGCAGTGCAACACACCCAAAGGCCCCAAAGTAGTTCCTTTTTGAGGTTCATATCTAGAATCTATAAGATTCTATAAGGTAATCCCCAAAAGGAACTACTATGGGGCCTATGGGCATCTTCGACATTAAGGGGATGCCGAAACCCCCCGAACAGGACGATGAGGCGATGTGGGACGAAGCCATTCAGGAAGCCAAGGGCCACCGACCACCCATATCCGCACCAGCGTGTCGCTGCTGTTTTGGCAGCGCTTCGCTGGAGAGCACGCTCATGTTCCCGGGTTGCCGCGCGACCAAACTTTGCCTGGTTCGTGAGCCTGCTGAGTGCAGCTGGCAGTCATTGTGAATGTCCCGCGTCGTGAAGGACCTCACAAGTGGACGTTGCTTAGCTTGGTGCATAACAAAGGGGCCTTAATAATTAGAATGGGGTTCTGGGGCCCCTTACACTATAATTACAATCAATAAGGAGCCCCCAAAATAGTCTTGGTAATTCTTTAGGCCCCTATGTAGTAGTTTCGGCATTGAATGATCCAAATCCCAAATTTCAATTGCCCAAAGCTACAACCCCCTCGGTACCTTGCTCGAGGTCGCTTGGGACGTCCTAAACATCCCGAAACCTTAGACCTAAAGCCTAGGCCCCAACATCCGAAGCCAAACCACCAAAACCTAAACCCTAAACCCCACCTTAACCCTGAAGAACCTACCATTTTAAGGACTTAAATAAGGAAATCGTAACAGGGAACCCAAAAAAGGTAGGTTCTTCAGGGTTAAGGCAAAACCTACACCCGTAAAGCCGAAACCCTAAACCCCAAAGCCCCATATTATCAACCCTGATCTGTCAGGGTTCCTCCAATAGGAATTACCATTATGGTACCTAGGACGCTTTGCGTTTATCCTAAACTACCCTAAACCCCTACACCCTCAAACCCTACGCCCTAAACCCTACACCTAAACCCGTAAACCCTAAAACCCTGACCCATAGTAAACCCCCGGACGCCCAAACCCTAAAACCCTAAGCCATAGTAAACCCCAAACCCTAAACCCCCTTTAATACTATGTTGGGAGCTCCTTATCCTAATTATAGTATAATGGGCCCCTAAACCCTATTCTCATGATTAAGGCCCCTATATTTGCGCCTTGTATTTTGTCCTAAACCCCCTGGGTCCCAGGCTAAAGCTAACTTTGGACCACCTGGCGGCTATCGAGGCTAAGGCACGTGTGAATACGCGGCAGAAGGGACCAAAGAGCTGATCCCAATCTTTACCCTAAGAACCGTACGGGTTCCTTCAAGGGCTCCTATAAGGGCTCTATAAGGGTACCAGAAGGGTTTTGGTTCAGCTTTTCGGTCACTTTGAGGGTTTTTTGGGCCTAGGGGGAAGTGGTGATGCACAGTTCCATGCTTTCTCCACTGCGGTAATTGCAGGATGTGGAGTTTAGGGCACGTAGTACAGCGGCCTTAATAATTTGAGTGAAGGGCCTATAGGGCTACTATAGGGTTTACCTGATCCCCAAAGAGCCTGCCTCTTCAAGGCGTTCTTATACAAGGATATGATATTAGTGGAGCCCTGAAAATTATTGGTGTCCAGGTAGAGTTTAGGGTAGCCTCTTTGGTTACTGAAGGCATTGAAATTTAGCCCCAGCTAGATGGTCATATACCTTACCCCCCTTTCTCGCGGTGCCCAGTCTAGGATTTAAAGTTGGAAGTATATGCAAATTTGGTCTCCTACAAAACTGGCAGGGCATGAAGGTATGTCTCCTAGCATCCCTTTACCTCGGTGTTTATTGAACGTAGCACGGATTTAGAATCAGCTCGGCAATCCTAGTCTTGTTGGTATTTTAGCTTTCGAACGAATCCTACCAAAAGGGTCCATATCCAAACTAGGCACCCGCAGAGCAGCAGTGTCCCTTTCAGGGGTTGAAGTATGGCGTGCGTTTGGTTTGTGTTTATCTTTTAACTTGCGGGTTTTGCAGTGTCAGACTTTGGTCGGGATTTGGCGCATATGTCTTTAGGGTTTAATGATTTACGGTTCAGGGTTTAGGAGGGTTTAGGGCATGAGGGGTTTCGGGGTAAGGATGTTGAGTTTAGGTGTATAGGGTTTCGAGTAAAGGACTAGGGCTCCGGAAGGAACAGGGGTAAATCAGTACGACTTGGGTGCAAAGCCACCTGGCATTCGACAGCAGGTTGGTTGTATTCAAAGACCGAAAGACCATCATACCTGCTAGAAGGTAGGCCCTGCAATGGTCATGCAGGTATCATGTGATCTATGGTTCAGGGATAGGAAGGGTTAGGTCTAAGCCCGAGGGTCCAAGTACCTCATATGTTCAATCTTTCACGGCGCTTAGGACAAAGTCTCACCCCCCCCCCCCCCCCCCCCAACTAAGGCTTCCATAAAGGTTCACGTGTGAGAGGTTCGTCATGAACTAGCAGGGCTATAGATTATATACAGGTGTTTCCAGTACACCGCCTAAATTGCTTCTAGCTCCTCATACCCTAAACCCTGAGCCCCAAGCCGTAAACCCCTGAGCCCGAAACCCCGCAAAGAAGTTCTGGACACCCTTCTTGGATGTGCCGGCTCACCCAAAGGGTGGTGCTGTGCAAAGCAAAGTAGCCGTAAGCTGTTCGAGAGGCGTGAGGAGAAAGCAGATTGCATTCATCTGTATCAGTAGTCTGCAACCCTAAACCTCTAAATCAGGCCCTGAATCCTTAATTACACCCGCGGCTCATAAACTACACTGTAATAATTCCACGGCCAATAAGTGTAACGTAATCTGGCAAGGGCCCTGGTAGGAAGTAGGAAGAACAAGCTTAACCCTACATTGTAAGCCCGTGAGAACACCCGACACCTGAAACTTCCCATGTCATGGAAAAAGGAGAACTTGCGAGAGGCTTTGGGGCTATGGGCCGTTAGGATTTAGGTCGCCATTGCATTTAGGGTTTCGGCGCGTGGGAATTTTCATGTGAGCTCAGATCATAAACCGCTAGAGTCGCTAGAGATTTGTAGAAGTAAGACTCATAGTGCCTATTTACGTATTAGCGGTACCGTACTGTCGGCAGTGACATTAGTTGGTCTCTTGTCCTCACCTCTTGACAGCACAGTTGGAGGCGCCCCAAAGCTGGGCACAAAGCATGCGTTCAGCGCCCAAGAGGGGTGCCAAATTGGAGGGTCGGGGGAGTTAGTAAGTAGTTACATTATAGAGTTGTAGATATACGCCATATACAAAGCCCCAACTAGGATCCTTTTTAGGGTACGTATAACTGCCTACTTACTATAAGTCGCCGACCCTCCAAGAAGTCCAGCGCAAGCACGAAACCTCGCGCCTGAACACCAGAAATGCAGACCCAGGGTTTAGGGTTTAGGGCTCAGGGTTGCCTTCGATGCTTGGGAGTCCCACCCAGAAGCCCTGAGGCTCCATGTACCCTTATTGTATATACTAGGCCTTAAAGTACCTATATAGGGACCCCTTTAAGGCTTAAGTATCTATGGAGCCGTTGGGAAGCCTGGCGCCCGATGTCCAACTTTACTTATAAGTCCTAAACAAACAGAAGACACTGGTTTAATCAAAAGGGAAGAAGATTTCGAACAGCTTCAAGGCTCAAGCCGTGTTTGTCGAAGTGAACCAGTCGAAGTTTACAATCCACCGCCTGAGGCATAGTACAGCAAGCTTTGTATGACAAGCCATGTTTCTGGCTGTAATCAGAAATACCTGGACCCCAACAGTATGTAGAATAATAGCCTTTTATAGGGTTTGGGCCATTATTAATTTACCTACATGTGGGGGTCGAGGTAAGAATGCTCGGTTTCCTGCTTCGCGAGCTGCGGAGTGTTTGCAAGAAGCCGCCCCCAACATCGCATTGCATCGAAAAAGTGTCGGGTTCAGCTTCCCCGGTTCATGAGCAGCGATTCGGCACAGGGTCTAGTCCCTTTAGGGGGTTCCTATAAGGGCTCCGGGATCCATAAGGGTTCTATAAGGGTTTAGGGTAAGGCTCCATGTCCCTTTAAGGGTGTCTTCGAAGGCAACGTGGCTTAGACAGCGACTACGGGAATGCGGAATAGGGGAAGTAAACAGATCGGGGCGAGAGTTCGGTGATATGCTGCTGCTGGGACTGCTTAGGCGTACTTAGAAATAATTTTGAATTTTTGGTCATTTTAATCCCTAAGAAACAGCTAAAATCAAATTTTCGCTAGGGTTCTAAGTTCAGTATAGACTGTACAGGGTTCACTTGATTTAGGCCTACCTGCACCCCAAATGACCTACTCTAAGTGGCAATTTGGGAAACTGTTTTATAATCCCTTATGGTTCCTGCAGAGGTACCTGTTCACAAATACTTTTCAGAGCCCCAAAACTACAACCCAGTGACCTACTTGTTCCGGGAACTACACAAAGACATCATAATGGCATGGGATCAAACACCCATGTTTCACGGACCCGGGTTCCCTAACGGTCCATGTACCCAGATAGTATATACTTTGAACCAGAAGTATGTATGTATGTCTGTATGTATGTATATATGTAATTAAGTATGTATGCATGTATGCATGTGTGTAAGTTGTATACATATGTGAATGGCTTCGGAGTATCCCACAGTCTAGCTCTACTTCATAGACCATCGTATTTTGGATTTCGAACCCAAGATGGTCGGCTGAACCTTCAAGATGGCGCACTTGAGCGTGTGAAGAGTGCTGCTGACCAAAAGGCTCCTATAGTGAATCCCAGAAAGTTGGAACATGGATTTAGAATGATGTGTGCTAGGATTCCCTCTACTTTAGCTTAAGGGCCATGAGGATAATGGTGTTCCAACTTTCTGGCTTCTACTGTAATTACCTATGTTAAGGGTTTCCCTTAAGGGATCCGTAGGGGCCGCTTTAGGCATTCATTTACGGGATCTACAGGGGGTCCCTTTAAGGATTCACTTTAAGGGGCCGGGGGGGGGGGGATGCGATTATGGGGGACACGAACCCACGCCATAATAGTACTTCCTACTATAGAAATTCAACCATGTAGGTACTTAGGAGCCTTTGGTGGTTGAGCTCTTGTAAACAGCGTACTGTAAGTTCCCGTAATCAGGAAGCCGTATTGTTTACTATGGATCTCTAATGTGGTATTTGTAAAACTTAATTTCTAAACCCTAAAGCTTTATAAAACCCCTACTGGAACGCTGAGTTATGGTAACTTAGTAAATCAAGCTCCTAACAACTTAGTAGCTGAGTGGAGAGACACTTCACACTTCATGGGGTAATATTACCCACTACAAAAAGTCAAAGTGTAAACGTTTTGGTGCTTATGAACTCAGCAACTAAGACCCTGGACTGGGAGTTTAGTTCAACATAATTTAAAATACCATACATAGTAAATCATATGGTGTCCTTCTTACGGGAAGTTGACTTTATCCAGAGGCCCAAAGTAGTTCCTTTTTGGAGTTACCCTATAGGATTCTATATATGAACCCCAAAAAAGGAACTACTTTGGGGCCTTTGGGTAGTTCCTGAACATGAGACCAGCCTTGCTTTGCCAACCGGCCCCTGGCTCGAGGCACTCTCGCTAGGACATCCGGCCTGACCTGAAGTTTCGCACCAGATGCAGCTCCTAATCCTAGGGTTGATGCTATAAATCCTGCATGACCTTAAGGATCCTAAACTATGGGAATTATGGTATATTCCTTATAATGGGTCATGCAGGATTTTGTCCATCAACAGTAGTATAGGGTCTTTTAAGTGATCTATAGGGTCTAGGTTTTAATAGGGTTTAGGGCGTAGCAATTTAGGGTTATGATGTAGCTCCTAGGAAGTTTCCTAGATCAATATGCAAAGGACCCGAAGTAACCACCTATATAGTCGAATGTAGCTATTGGGGGCAAAGCCATTATTAGAGCAAGCGTCCCCCAGAACAGAACCTAGGACCCTTTGGGGTGAAATCGAGTCTTATTGGCGGGAACACAACATCTATAGGACTAGACTGGATATTGCCACGGCCCATGCAGGATCTTCATGAGTAATCCTACAGGGAATACTATTTGAGTTGCCTGTAGTTGTCCATATCAGGGTTTAAGGTTTTGGACTTAGAGGTTCAGGCTTTGCAAAGAATTTTTTCAATCTTTGAGCTATGGCGGGACAAGGCCATAGTTGAGCTGTTTGACGTCTGAGAAAGATAGTCTGAAGGTTACACGGCTAGGATTAAGTTTAGGGTTCATATACTTTGGGCTTAGGGCTCGAGGCTTATTATATATGGTTTAGGGCTTATTGTATAGGGTT